AATATGCTTTGATACAGCACTCTGTGAACAGCCACCCCTTTCAGTAATGACCTTCTGTGACTCACCCTCTTTGTGAAGCCAGTGTGCTCCATCTTCAGCCTACTTTTTCCTCTGGTCTTGTCACTTGCTATGTTTCCATCCACCTATTTTTATGCGCATTTTGTAATATCGCATTAAAACGCTGGATGGAAAAGCCAAGATGCGCATTAATTCTAAAAATGCGCATAAAAAACGTATGCGCACAATTGAGTAGGATACACTTTTTATCCGATAAGAAAGAATGCACATAAACTACGATGGAAACACATTTATCAAATAAATTCCACCATGCTCATCAAAAAGTCATGTGACTGCACGATGGGACGGGATAACTTGAATAACCAGCGGACCGATCTCGTTGCACAGCATCTGAAATGTTGTTATGGTCGTTCTGTAATGCCTGAGCAAAGTCTGTCGTCAAAGTATTTCTGTATAATTGTCTTATGGTGCTTTTCCACTGCGTGGTACGACTCGGCTCGGCATGGCTCGGTTTGCGTTTCCACTGCAGTTTAGTACCGCTTTAAGTGGGCGAATTATACACATATTGTGGCCAAGAGCTGAGCGACCTCCTGAAAAACTTTTTTATTCTGTGTCGCCCCATCAAGCTCTCGCTGGATCCACTCCTCGGCTATCTATGAGAGGAACGTCTGTACTTCCTCAACAGACCACAAAACAGCCATTTTTCCCCCCATTTTTAAAAAAAAAAAGTGCGCTCGTTCAAAACAGTTGCGTTCATTCCAAAAAACAGTTGCATCCGATCCTACTCTGGCTGTGCTGATTTAAATCTAGCGGGTCTGGTGTTCAGTGACGCAGGTAGTGACGATTCTCTCCGGCCAATCAGTGATCAGCAGGGTTTACACGTCACATTTTGGTAACGGTACAGCTCGCTTGGAACCTCAGCCGAGGTGGTACTGAAAAAAGTACCAGGTACTGCACCCAGTGGAAAACAACTCAAAAGTAAGCTGTAGCCGAACCGTACCATGCAGTGGAAAAGTGCCAATACACGACTGCGTTCCCAAACAGCAGGTATCCACCTCCGAAAGCAATTATGGCATTTACTGTGTTTTGCCTGCTCGCTCTGAGGCGAAATTAATTTATCATATATGAAAATTATTATATTCAGTGGCTTCAACTACTTTTCTTGGTGATATTTAGTGCCAGTTTATCAGGAAGTGATGATTTTGTTCTCTTTGACTCGTTGTATGGAAACGGGGCTTTATTCGCAAATGTTTAATACGATGTTCCAGTTTTGCGCAAAAGTAAATTCGCATCTTTGGATGGAAACATAGCTACTGTGTTGGTGACTCTACTCTCAGTGAGGAGCGATGACACTGTGACAGAACTGCAAGGAGATTAAGTGAAATTACAAATATTTGGTAATGTAGCCTAGAAAGTCGGCCATCTACACCTCTCATCCTTCTCCTGTTTCTCTTTCCATTTCTGGTGTCTTGATTTTGGCCATGTCTTCTCTTGCCAATGACCTGATGGGAGCAGCATTACGAGTGTGTGAGTTTGGGATAAACCACTGAACATCGTAAGGGGGGAGTCCAGCTGCCAGATCATCTCCCAATATCATGTCAAAAGCAGTCTTCAATGCTGGCTTACCGGTGTTTATCAAATCACAAAATCATAGACGTTGCTAACAATCATGCTTCCAGAGGATCGCAAACAACCCACACACATACACACTCTCTCTGATGATTAATCTCTTAATGGCCGTTCTTCCACATTACATCAGACCCCCTGAACCTCTAGTCACATGACTTGTTTGATCACGGCTCAGCCAATCAGGCCGCTTCTGCTGAAAGCTCTATCTGAGTGAGCGCTGTCTCCTGGCAACTGCCAGCATGCTTTTCTTACATGCTGTAAGCTCCTCAGATATTAGCTGTGGCGTCTCTGCTCTGAGCTGCTTAGATAATGGACTGTAGCCAGACCTCACCTGCGGGATCGGCCTCTCTTCCTCTTACACTCCTCCCTCTCCATATCACTTCACCACACCTGCTCCACCTCACATACTGTACAACCACACTTTCATCTCTCGCTTTTTTGTTCTCAGCCCTTTTGCACTGTAAGAATTTTTTTTTTTTAATTTTCTGCCATGGACAATTCCTTTAACCCTAAAACACCACAAAATGTGTAATTCAAGCAACAGGGAAAATTATGAATTCCTTCTTATTAAAACAGCACATCGGACCCTATTTTTACTGTCTTTTTTATAGAGATAATACTCTTTTATATTATGTTTTTAATATTAGATTTTCTAAATGCAACTTTTTAAAATGAATAAATAAAATAGGTTTTATCTGCACTGCATTGTGCCATTTATTTAAGTTAATATCTTCAGCACAAACATGCCTCCTCTGTATGTAAATTGGGTTTATTATAGATTGTGCTTTATTTGTCTGCCACAATTAAAGGGGTCATATGATGCTGCTAAAAAGAACATTATTGAGAAAGGAAAAAATGAAATCGCATCATATGACCCCTTTAACACTGCACTATTACCGCCTGTGAAAAGCAAACAGATTTTTATTTAAAAGAGACAAATGATGGAGTGGAGCATTATATGCGCTTTTTAATGATAGAGAAGAGCGGGGATGTATTCAGTCAAGCATACTTGCAGCATTTTATTATCATCAAAAGTGAGATTTAAATGCCGTCCCAGCTGTTTCAAATACCTTGTGCATTTCTGAAATGACTGTTTTGAATGCAATGAGTCGGGTAGGTGTTGCAGGTCATAATGCATGAGTGATTGTGCGCAAAAGTAATCTAATTAACTTCCAAAAACGACCTGTTTCAATTGTTTCATATTCTTTGTGCAATTCTGTAAGAAATGATAGAAAATGCATTTTGCGTAACAAACGTGAGTTTGCATGTAATGCAATGAGTGTTAGCGTGCAAAAACATGCATTATGGATGCACGTACTTAACTGCATTTAAATTGTTTAATATCTAATAGTCTCTTATGGATCAGACAGTTCATCTGAGTGAATTCATAAGACTTGTCTGTAGCAAACCCTCCTAACCCAGTTGCTGCAGGTAGACGTGTGTTATATATTTAGCAGCCGTCTCTGAAATCTGCTTACTATAATAGGTTTACATGTATATGCGGTAGTTTTCATTTACTAGGCATCTGTTAACCCTTCACCCAAGTTTTTTTTTTTTTTTTTTTCAAAGAAACCCTTCCTAATAAGCTCACTCCAACAAACTGACAATATGTACTAGTTCTTGTAACAAAAGCGGTGCAGTATCAAGTGAATGAGCTGCAGAAATGAATTATGGCTCTCACGTGGGCAGCGCAAGTCAGAGTCCCAATTATTATGTGTCCTGATCCCATCTCCCCCCTCTGTCCCTAAAGAACGTCCTTTAGCGTTTAATGCTGATTTCTTTAGTGTTCCTTTACCTCAACTGGTAGATCACAATGCTAGAGACAGCAAGGCTGCAGGCCTGTTTAACAGGGAGTTCACATACTGATAAAAACTCATAGCTTGAATGCACTATAAATAGCTGCAGATAGCTGCTTAGCATATAGTATATTAGGGCTGTCAATATAACACATTAATTAGAATTATATATAATAATGCTTTTAAAATGTACATATTTAATAAAGTTCTGTGACCTGTATGTAAAATCCATAATAAGGCAATTTTCAACCATCAAAATGATTCAAGTCTGAGGTACTGAATGTAAAACTGTTTTTGTGGATTCGCATTTTAGCCCAACAGCTGCTACTGCAGACAACACTCACATGGAAATAAAACATATATAAAAACAGACCATTGTCCCTTCAGTTCACCTGACTATTCCCTCATTTCATTAGTGGATTGATTTGGGTTGTCACCTCTGTTAGACTCCAAACCTGTGGAGGCCTCTCTTCAGGAAGCTGGTGTTATTTCTCTGGCTGCTTGCAGGTTTAATTAGATGCATTAATGAAGCATCGTGACGATAGGCAAACCATCTTGTTTGTGCTGCTTCCATGTGAACTTGGTTGCAAGATTTTCCAGGTATTTTGATATTTTTACAAAGTGCTCTTAAGTGTGTTTAAAAGTGTTTTAGAAAGTGTATACTCTTTGGTTTAAGTACTTAAGTGGCCTTTATTTCATTAGCATTATATATTTTTTGCAAGTACAGTTAACATGCTTTTAAAATCTGAAGTAAATTACAAGTGCGCATTCTTTTTCACAAGGCTACACTGTAAAAAATAAGTTTAATTTTAACTGTAAAATTTAGTAAAAACGCTACGGAAAAAAACTGTTAATAGGTTAACAGTAAGTTCCCGTACTATATACAGGGAAAAACTGTAAAATATCTAACCAGACATTTCATGTAATTTTACAGTAAAATGCTGTTAATTTTACAGTTTTTAGAAGTAAAAATGACAAATAAAATGTACAGTTTTTGGCCGTAAATGTGTTTACAGTTTTTCTGTATTTTTTACAAAATTATTCTGGCAACCACAGCTGCCAAAATTATTTTGTAAAAACTACAGAATTTTTTTTACAGTGTAGATACTAATTTCCTAATGCATACATGATGACTGCAGTTCTGCTTTAAAGCAGCGATTTTATTATTGTCTATTCAGCTCTGAATACTGCTGAAGGTTGGCTGCTTGAGACTGCTTTCCTAAAGAGTGAAAGCATCCTTTCTGTCGTTTGTCATCTTGACTGGTTTGACTGGTGTGATTGTTTGTGGTTGTTGAGTTTCATTTGACAAAATGCCCTGTTCCACAGCTTCATCTTAAAAACTCAAAGCAAGTGCACAAATGTTTCCTCACCAGAGCAACCCAGCAGCTTTCCATCACAATGTTCCCCAGTGTGCTGGTGTGATCACACCCTCTCTCTCTCTCTCTCTCTCTCTCTCTTTCTTTCTCTCTCTCGTTCTCTCTCTCTCTCTCTCTCACTCTCTCTCTCTCTCTCGTTCCTCCCCGTAACCCCTCGCCTCATGCCGTCTAAGCCATTCAAGTGGAACACTGCAGGATTATCCTCTACATGAGCTCCAGACGCACTCCACAACCAGTGCTGAACTAAAAAAATAGAGGCCAATAATATCACCGGCCGGACCTGTGTAATGATATCTGGATTATTTTACTCTTAAAAGGTCCTACCATTGTTTGTGAATGGGTTCACCGGTGGTAAGTTCACAGTTTTTATCAAAACAAAGAGCTGGATAGTTTGTGCATGAAATGGATTTTTCCCTTGTGGTTGGTTCTGATGAGAGCTTTTGGTAACACTTTATTATAGGGTCCAATTCTCACTATTAACTAGTTGTTTACTAGCATGCCTGTTATTAACATATTGGCTGTTTATTAGTGCTTATAAAGCACATATTCTGCATGAGCATATTCTACATCCCTAATACCTAAACTTAACAACTACCGCACTAACTATTAATAAGCAGCAAATTAGGAGTTTATTGAGGTAAAAGACATAGTTAATAGTGAGAATTTGTCCCCAAATTAAAAGTGTGACTGGAAAAGCAGTTAACCAGGATATGTGAGAAGTCTTTCAGTGCCTCTGAAAATAACTTCCCGTGCGTCTCATGAAGGAGGTTGAGAGCTGTAATCTACACAGACTTTCTCCCTAGTTTATATCGAAATATCTCAACATCAGTATACAACTATAAACAACCTCTTTTTGGTACACTTAGCTGAATGGATAATCTAAAACTCATAATCATAAAACAATACAGCAGTAGATTCAGCATGCTTTGCAGTAAGCAGTTCAGGTTACAACACAATCTTGTCTTATGGTAATATATAATTATTATAATAGTTATTCACAATTTATGTCACTGTTTTCCTGACCCCCTGACAGGTTACACTAGGGTCTAATCACTGTATTTAGTCCGTTTGGAAAATGCTCTAATAAAATGTGCAGAGGCAGACATTATTTTTCAGACAAAACAGCCACTCTTGCACACAATATCACTGCACAAACCTTTGTCTTAATTACCAGCTACACACAATTAAGTGCCATCCCCTTGTGAAAAAGACTATGTGCTGTAATGTACTTAAAAGGATATTTTTAAAGCTGTACTTGCAGATAATAAAATATTGCTGAAATAAAAGGCCACTTAAGTGTCCTCAAAGAGAGTTCACTTGGCTTCTTAACAAACTAAGGTTAAACTTGATTTCGATAGTCCACTTTAGACATTCTACTAACTATAAGTAACTTTGTAACTACATGTCAACTAATTCTCATTAATTTGCAACTACATGTCTATGTTACCCAAACTAAAATGCACTTTGTAATGTCAAAAAAAAAAAAAAAAACTTAAAAAGTTTAACCTTGAAGTGCATTTTAAATATCTTTGGTTATTCTTTAAAGAAGTAAGCTTATTCTGGTGTGTTGACATTTTTCATTAGAAATTACATGAAACGTATTTAAGTTTAGGATATGCGGCATATTTACTGTATATAGTCAGTGTATTTGGCAGCACGTTAACCATAATTCAAAGATAATAGAAGTAATTAATTTATTACGTATAAAGATTAAATCCTAGATATATGGGTCAAAACACTCTTAAGTTTGTAAGTTAAGTACTCTTAAGTGTAAATTTAAGTAATGACATATTTTCATTTAATTGCAAATAACATGCAATTAAGTGTCCAGAAACATTAAGTATATTATTTTACAGTATATTATTACTGTAAAAACTTCTCTTTAAAAAAAAAAAGGTATAATACAGTGTGTTTCTTTGTCACAGGGGTTTGTTCTGGTATGAAATTATGACATTCATATGTAAATAAAGAAGCTGTTTATCTTTTTAGCACAAACACCCCTCTTTATCTATGTATATTTGTCACTTCAGATGTTGCCTTATTCACGAGGAACAACGTTTTATCTGCTGCAGTTAACCTTGTGTTATTTGAAAGAGATGTTTGTCTGCACTTTCTGTTTATCATACCTGCAAAGAACATCAGATCAGGGCAGTCTGCTCAATCCAACACAACCAAGAGCTCACCTGCAAGATGGGGAACTGTGACGCGACTTCAGCAGAGATTTTGCATAATTCTCTAAGCATAAAGGTCTGCAACTATCACGGTAACTACATTAGCATCTACAACAGTAAACGGTAACATCTGCTGCTTTAAATGCGCGAGATCACTAAAGTTGGGTGGATTCTGATTGGCTGTCAAATGTTTTTTTTTATCATTCATCAGCTGAAAAGGATTGTTCTGGAAGCGATTCCAACAATATCGTTCCTCTGTGCTGTTGACATTGTAGCTGTGGTGTGGACTTCACTATTGTCAAAGAATAAGCATGATTATTAAAACTGTATTATAGTTACGTTATCTTTATAGTTATCGCCTTTGGTGTAAACGGGCCCTTGTTTTTTTTCTTAGCAGAGACACAATATCTTTTCACTTTTGTCCTCATAATCTGAATGAATGAGAGGTGAATATTGACCTCCTCCTCACAGATGAAATCATGAAATATTAATATTAGTAATATTACATGTATTAAATCCAGCTGTTGTCCTGACACTGAACATCAAATATATTGCTGATATCATTGTCTTTGTGTTTCTATAATAGGTGACTGTGTAAGCATAAATGAGATATGCATTGAAACGAGTCAGTCATCATCATGTCTGCCATGTAAGATGGGAGTTCATCCAAATTTCCTTGGCAGGGGTTTCGAATGTGCTGAAGCATGTACAGTTGAAGTCAAAAGCTTACATACACCTTGCAGAATCTGCAAAATGTTAATTATTTTAAGAGGGATCAAACAAAATGTATGTTATTGTTTCTTTAGTACTGATCTGAATAAGATATTTCACATAAAAGATGTTTACATATAGTCCACAAGAGAAAATAATAGTTGAATTCATAAATATGACCCCGTTCAAAAGTTTACATCCCCCTGATTCTTAACACTGTGTTGTTACCTGAATGATCCACAGCTGTGTTTTTTTTTGTTTTTTGATAGTTGTTCACGAGTCCCTTGTTTGTCCTGAACAGTTGGACTGCCTGCTGTTCTTCAGAAAAATCCTTCAGCTCCCACAAATTCTTTGGTTTTACAGCATTCTTGTGTATTTGAACCCTTTCCAACAATGACTGTATGGTTTTGAGATCCATCTTTTCACACTGAGGACAACTGAGGGACTCGTATGCAACTATTACAGAAGATGCAAATGCTCGCTGATGCGCCAGAAGGAAAAACCATGCATTAAGAGCCGGGGGGTGAAAACTTTTGAACAGAATGAAGATGTGTACATTTTTCTTATTTGCCTAAATATCTAATTTTTAAAAAATGTATTACTCCCCATCAGAAGCTACAGAAGATACTTACATGTCTCCCAGAAGACACAATAAGTTAAATTGACCTCGATCTTCAAATTCAAACGGTTTTCATCACTTTTCATTCAGGTAACAACACAGTTAATACTGTTAATCTTAATAGATTCAAGGGGATGTAAACTTTTGAACGGGGTCATTTTTATAAATCCAACTATTATTTTCTCTTGTGGAATATATGTAAACATATTTTATGTGAAATATCTTATTCAGGTCAGTACTAAATAAACAATAACATGCATTTTGTATGATCTCTCTTATTTTGTTAAAATAATAAACATTTTTTAGATTCTGCAAGGTGTATGTAAGCTTTTGACTGTGCTACACATTAGACATAATAGTTGAGAAATGGATTTGGTTGCATGACATGAGTCATGGGCAATTCTAAATCCAATCTTTGTTTGAAGAATGACTGAATGTTGATTTTCATGCTTGCCAGAAGAGCATCAACATGCATAAAAGTAAAATAACTAGATCATTTGACAGTGAGTCGAGCAAAATAAAGTTTAAGACTTTACTCATTGTAAACACATTTTAATACAATTTGTTTAGTGTACAGTTGCCTCATTGTTCAGAAAGAAAAGAAAACTTTCTGAGAAATTAATATAGAAAATTCCATTAAACCATCCATATATGTTCACGGATGTATGTGTGGTAGTTTTCTTAACCTTTCTGTTAATGAAACATTCTTCAGTGATTTCAGCACAGTTTGTAGGGCAGTTATCATTAATATGCAAACAACAATAATGTGTTTTATGTTAAATGGCTACATATTACTTGGCCATTATAAAGCCATGAGGTGCAAATAGCTAATAAACTAAGACTCTTACACGATGGCTGCCTGTGTCATTATGGGTCCTCTGTCATCAGACATTGGGCTTAAGGAATTTGGGTTTCAGAAACTGGGTTAAAGACTCATTAAACCATGTTCACGTTTCCATTGCTCAGGGGTCCAGGTTTACTGTGTTATGAATCTATGTATATTTGTCTCAGATATACTTCTAGGTTCGTGAAGCCCATGTGGGTCACACATGTTCTGGTTTATTTTTCTTTCTTGTGATTATTTTTTGACAGCGTACACAACAGTTTGTTTTCCTTAGATAAGTAGTTTGCAGTAAATGTGTTAATTAGTAAAGTGTCAGCATGCAGCATTTCTAGGCTTTGTTGCATATAGTCAGCAAACTTAGTCAAATGAGTGTTCCTGCCGCTCAAACAGCAGCACATCAGGTCATGAGTTTGATTCCCATGGAAGTCATGGCTTTAAAATGTCATGGATTTAAATACATATTTAATGAAATATTTGTCGTAATTTTAAAGGCACAACACGTACGATTTTCTTTATTAAAATACCGAAAAACCACTAGAACAGTTTTATATATTTTGCTGACTTGTGTTCTTACATTATCTCAAATGTTTCGAAGAATGTTTAAATCCAGAGAAATAAGCAATTTTAACTAGTGACACGGACCGTGTCCATAGTGTCATTGTGCCGTCTGCCAATAACGTCATAACCCCTCGATTACCCCTCGGTTTTGTTTTGTAGAAAACATGGAAACACCAAAGACGCTTTAATATGTTGTGCGTATTAATAGACCGATGACGACTTTCAAATGTAGTATGATAAAACAGCACTGCTTTTTTTCCCACATACGCACGACCGGAAGGAGCGGAAGCGGTAAAGTGTGGCATAATAAAAGCTCCGCTGCTTTCAAGCCGCGTGTCACGCTCGTTCAGCGCCTCGTTTCGCTTCGACGGCTTTCAGCTTCACCCCGCTTCATTCTACTACGTTAATAAATCATTAGCTCATCCATGAACATGATTGCTGCCCGAGTCCCGTCGAATTGCATCGGCTGTGGGGATGAAGACCACAACTCCCATGATTCCACAC